CACCCCACTCCATACCCACCCCTAATACCAACAGGACAAAACCCCTGGAGTTGGCCCCCACCCCTGCCCATGGATCCCGAAGTAACAAACCAAAGGCCCCCCCCTCCAGTCCCTGTCCCATCTCCCAACCACTATTAAAGAAAGGAGGTACTGACCTGACTGTTCTGGAATTCTCACCATCAGATCTGAAAGGGAAACAGAGGAAAAAAACAACAGTCAGCATATGCTCTCAACTCTTCTCCCTCTACCCTGTGCAGTGGCCTTGAAGGCTGAGGAATAAGGTATTTCAGGCAGAGCAAAGAGCCAGAGCAAAGGACTTGGGATGGCAAAGGGCCTGGTCAGTTGTTGGGGCAGGGAGGAGGGCAGCGTGGCTGGGGTGCAGTGAGCAAGGGGAAGAGCGGTCAGAGGTGAGGTTGGGGGCACCAGGAGCCAACCGTGTGGGCCTGGTGGGTCAGGGTGAGGGGTGAGGCTTCCCTCAGGGTGGCTGAGTGGCAGCTCACTGCTGTGGGCAGGGGCAAAGCCCGAGGTTTGAACAGCACACGGAACCTCAGATATTGGCTCTGCCACTTATGGGCCCTGGGACCCGAGCAAGTCACTTCCCCTCTAGGAATCTGAGCCTCAGTCTCCCCACTTGTAACATGAGGCCAATTCTCACAGGGCTGTTGGGATGATTAAGCCCTTTGAAACCCAGCAGACAAATGCCAGGTATTATTAACAACATAGGAAAGGCTTTGCCAACTGCCTTGTCCAACCTGCTTATTTTGCAGATGAAGAGAACGAGGCTGAGAGGCAGTGAGTCAGCGGCTAAGCCTCTTCATCTGAGGCCCCCTCAGGGGCAAAGGAAGGGCGACAAAAAAGAACAGAATGGGGGACAGCTTCGAGGGAAATGAGGGGATGAGTGAAGTCTAAACCATGCCAGAGCTGTGTGTGTATGTGTGTGTGTGTGCACGCGCGCGCACGTGCAGGGGAAGGGGGATTAGGAAGGGGAAAAGTGCATTGGTGTGTTGGAAGGACCAGGGAACTTGGAAGAAGTGGGACAGTGTGAGAAGTGCCTTCCGCATCCCCTGTTATCTCCTTTCTCCTTCTTTACCCCCCTCCTCCAACCGTGACTCGCCGCAAAGGGGACAGAGATGAACACATTGCAGGCTCTGTCCTCAGGTGAGAGAAGTGCGATGTGACCTTAAGTGAGAGGAGTGACATCTAAGCTGAGTGCAAAATGAGAGAGGGGCAGGCAGGAAGCAGGTGGACCTCAGGAGAGACTGTTGGGAGAGTGAATGGAGCACCCCCAGCGAGGCGGGGCAAGCAGCAGCGTGCTGGAGCTCAGACAGTGGGTGAGTACAGTATGTCCAGTTCTGCTCCTTACTAGCCACATAATCCTGGGGAAGGCACTCCCCTCTGTCCAGCCTCAGCCTTTTCCCTTGTAAAATGGGGGTGGGTTGGTAAGAATCTTCCCCCTTGTGGGTGGGGCTGTGAGGCTTGGCCTAGCCTAGTGCCCTGCACAGGGTGCAGGACAGTGGGTCAAACCTTAAGCCTTCACAGCCCCCTAAAGGGATGGAGGACCAGGGCCACAGAGCACCTTTTCACACTTACTAAACTTTCCATCTGACTCTGCTGCAAGGAGATTGCTTCTGAGGCCTGGTCCAAGATGGGAGGGGCCTAACTTTAATGACTCCCCAACGACCAACAGGATGGAAGCCACGCCCCTCAGCCTCTCTCCCTCATATTAACCCTCTGCTCCAGGCAGGCTGGTCTCCTTGCTACCCTACCCCACCCCAAGCCCCAGCACACACTTATGCGGTCTACTGTAACCAGGTCCTGACCCAGGAATACAAACCCTCAAGGAGTTCAGGGGACTAGCCCCTGCCCCAGTCTACTGTAGAGTGACATCCATACTCATCTCCATTCTCATGTGAACAATTGCTAAGCACCTGCCATGTATCGGGCAAGGTGTCATGCTCTTTCTGCACGTTACCTCCTTTGACCCTGCAAAGTGGGAATTACCCATCCAGTTTTAAGATGATGGAACTGAGACTAAGAGAAGTTGAAATGATTCGCCTCATGTCACACAAGTAAGGGGAGCTTGGTGTGAACCCCAAAGCTTGTGCTCTTACCACCAGGCTCCACTGTGCCAGCAGCTCAGGGCTGGGCAATGCTCACAGTTAAGGTGGCTTTCTTTATCCTGATTCCCCAATGTCAAGGCACACACTTCCTCTCCAGGCCCTTTCTTCTGAGAGATGTTACAGTCCTCAAGATGGCAGCTAAGGGGAGCAAAAGAACTCCCTTCGAGCCATGACACAGAGTGAGTTAGCCAGTTCTCGCTGTGGACTGATTTTTACTAGTTTGAGATATAAGACGTCATATGACCCTCAATGTGGGGTGCTTCCACCTTGGGTTTGCAGCCCTTTATGCACGCAGTATATTAGTACTTATGTATAGATAACAATCAACACCTCTTCAGGGCTAATGCCTTGCCCAGGGGTCAATCCAGCTCTTACTCCAGGAAGCTGGGCTTCCATTCTTTTGGGGGGGCAGCACAGACTCATAGAAAGAATGCTGGGTTCTATTATGGCTCCTTCCTTAACTGGCAGCATACGGAGATTTGGACAAGGCACTGCTCACTGGACCTTGGTTCCTCATCTATAAAACAATGGGCCTGCATTAGTTGAGTTCTGAACGATCTTCAGGCCCTAAAACATTAGTTTCTTCAGAATCCCAGTTTCTCTCTTTTATCAACCACAGCCAGCTGTCTACATAAAGAAGCAAAGCCCCAGGTAGCAGACCTCCCTTTATCGATCCACATCAGGAGAGATGGTTTTCTCCTGCTAGTCCCACAGCCTTCTCTTAATGAAAGGCCACTCAGGACCCCAGGCTTCTCAAAGGCTCAACTGTGCCAATTCCCATCCTCGGGAGTGATGCTCACTAAATGATAACATATTGAAGCCTATGAGTATAGTGACCATATTTTCTTAACCAAAAACTCAAGCATGTAACCTGACCAAGGATTTTGATGTTGTTGTTTCCAGGCACAAGGGACAATCTGACAGATGAAAGAATCAATGGCAAAATATAGAAAGTTCCTGAATCTATTGGGGACTTATGGGGACCACAGGGCAGAATAATTGAAAAAAATGTAGGTCCTCGATAGCCATATTGGGGTTTCTGTCTTCACCTCCTGACTAGATTTCCTGCTTCTGGTTTTGATCCTCTAAACAATCTGTAAACAGTACCTGGGGAAACTATAATTAGTTCTCTCCAAGAACCTGGAATTAGATAAACAAGGTCGTTCTCTGAGATCTAAACTATTTAAAACACACACAAAATGTACCAGAAACAAGATATGCAAAATTACCTGAAAGAAACATACTGGTCCTCAAGCCAGGATTTGAGTAACATGTCTAAAAAATCAGGTGTCCAACGAAAGGAGATTGGACACCAATGAAAGTAGATTTTTTAAAAGGAGACTTGAAAGGCAACCGTGAACAGGGCTCCTCCCAGAAGTGTCCAGAAGAGAAAGAGGTGGGTAGCCTGACCCAGGAGTTATGTAGGTCTTTTCAAAAGCTGAGATCCAGCCCTGGGGGCAGCCAGGCACCTCCTCTCCCAAACATCGCTTTATCTAACTGCAAGTCTCTTCAATGGACAACTCCCTTCTCTAAAGGGCAAACCAGTTGATGTGGTTCTTCTGCTACCATCATTCAGTAATTTCCCTACCAACATGCCTGCTGGTCAAGCCCAAGCTCTCCAAAGGTCTAAAGCTCTAAATCTCACTGCCCTTCTATCTGTTTTTTTTTGGTTGGTTTGTTTGTTTTTGTTTTTTTTTTTAAAAAAAGCACATTTGGTATTTGCTAACTGGAACACTCTTGGCCCTCTCTATGGTTTTAAAAAATATTTTAATTTTTTAAAAAGTGATACATGAAATAGTTTAAAAAGTCAAATTGTAAAAGAACCTTAGCAAAATAATAGCCTTTTTGTCCACTATTTTTTTTTTCTGAATTCATGTAGATATTTCTAAAGTAGATGCTTACATTGCTAATCCATGTTTGAAATTTTTGTGCATGTCCTTTTCAAATTTATTTTTACCAAGTAATACATGTATATAGATTTTCCCATCACACTGTATTGCAAGAATTATAACAAAAACCCCCACAAATTCCCCACTCTACCTGCCCTTCCCCCAACTCCCACTCTGAGACAGTTTTCAAGTCTTTTCATTGCTTTTTTGGGTATTTACCTCCTCCTTTCTAAAGAACACACACATACGTCTATTTCTTGATTTATTTTTTAGTTTTATGTATAATGTACGGAATTCCTACTATTCAGGGAGAGGATACAGCTCTCTTACACACACTTCCGCCTCCAGCCCCCAGTTCTCATGAGTGGCACACATCCCCTCTTCTCATTCTACCACTGTAGTCATATCACAAAGTTTTGGTTAAATCAATATTAGTGGTTTCTATTTTTATGACTGCTTCGATACTAATAGTGGATAAATCATATCATATGCTATAATTATATTTCCTTTCTCACATAAGTTTTTTTCCCTAGTGTTGTTTACTATTATTATTTTTGCTTGCATAGTTTTCTTCATATATATGATCAATTCTCCCTAAACTCTGTCACAAGTGCAATTCTCCTCTCAATATGTTTTGACATATGTAATCCATCAGATTTTTTTTTTTTTCCCTTTGAGACATCATCCCTGCTGCAATCCAGACTGGTTGTGCTCTAGGCCTGCACAAGGTTGCCCTAAGATCTTCTCCCTTACCTATAACCTTGGGGTTCTGTGTTGGATTTCCTGTTTCCTAGATTACTTGGCCTTTTTTTCTGAGTTCATGTCTGCGTTTTGCTAGAGCGCTTTCTCCAGTGCTTCCTAAGAAAAGAGGCATGAGACATAAAATCTTTAGATCTTACATGCCTGAGAATGTCTTTATTACACCCTCACCTTTGATTGATACCAACTGAGTATAGACTTCTAAGTTGTTAATTGTCCCCTCAGAATTTTGAGAATGCTCTTCCATTGTCTCCTAGCTTCCAGAGTTGTTTTTGAGAAGTCTAATGTCATTCTTTTTCTTGATCTTTTGTATATGACATGGTTTTACTCTGGCAGCTTTTAGGATCCTCCCTTTATCCTTGGTATTTCACAGGAGCATACCCTGGTACGGATCTTTTTATTATTTACTTTGCTGGT